AGCATGAACTCACTCGCACGCACGTGTGCTTCGCTCTGATTGACTGGAACAAAACTCTTAACATCTTTCTTGTTTTTTACGAAATATTTTGAAATTTTAAACATAATCATACATTTGGAGGTTCTACAGCATGAAATATAAGGGTAATCAAGAAAGCACGCGCATGCACGTGAGCTGCAATATGATTGGCTTAAACTTTGAATGCCTGTTACGTGATTATTAATAAAAAAGGATGAAATTTAGAATGTGAATAGGTATAATGGATTCCTACATTCTGCTAATGATTTGAATGCAAGGACATGCATGCACGCGCAATGCGTGAAATGACCAATATACTGATTTTTTTTTAAAAAGATTCTCAGGATATAAATACGTATATGTTAATCGTTTAGACAACATGCCATGATCATCTTGCATATGCGCATGCAATACGTTAAATCAACTATTTTTAAGCGCTAAGCGCAGAGCAAAGCGCTTTCTGTCAGCATAAATCTACTTCCGTTCGCGATCCAGCGCCACTATAAGCAAGTTAGATAACTCCTCTTGTTATTCTAAAAATATGCAACTGGAAATCCGTGACCCTCTTCCTGCTATTTTAGTGTACTCCTGCGTTACGTGCATTTCTAATAATAGGAAGCAATTAGTGAGGTAGAGAAATATTCCACAGTTAGTAGATAAAAGCAGTTCTTATCATGCTCTTCTCTACACATTGTAGTTCATTTAAATCATGCAGGCACACATTACTTTTGTATCATGTAGCTAATAATTGCTGCATCTATATTGCGCAAATACTTAATTAAAAGCATTATACTATTTATCATGTACATGTAATATAGTGATTGAATAAATACATAATTTAAAAATCAGATGGGATTTCAATAATTAAGTTTAATAAATCTCAAACTGGAAGTGAGTTACTAGTATTCAGTATTTAAAAAAAATTTAATTGATTAACAATGCACTACTTACATAATATGGCGTGTTCTTTATAACCGTGACTCATATTCATATAAACTATTTTTTTTTTCTTCTAAACCCTTACTTCAGGCAATTAAACTAAAACAAGCCTTCCTTTTAACACCTTGTTTAAAATCTAAAGTAAACGATATCTTAGGTATTTAATACTTATATCATTGTTCAAATATTCAACTATTTTTCAAAGTGCTAATTGGAGGTCTTTGATAGCAAATTGCTTAATTAAAAATACATATCTTTTCAAACTTGCTTTCACTGGGCAAGATGACAAGTATCATTTTTAACCATCAGCCTTCCTTCACTAAAACGATTAATCCAATCATTAATTGAATTTATAGGAACTCATTTATCTCAATAAACTGTGTACAAATTATTATATGATACTGTAGAGGGATTTCTAAGATATTACAATAAATTGTACAGTCGTTTGGTGAACGAGTTCGACTGAGACAACCATTTTTCGTCACAAGTGACCTAAATAGTGACGTCATTTTCACATTGTGACGTCACAAACAAGGAGAAAAACTTTATTCAGCATATGCTATTTATAGACCTTGTGTATGGCTATGTGTGTACCGAATTTCATTCTAATCTGAATTGTGGTTTTGTAGATATAGAGATAGTTTGCGAACTTTTTGATCACCCCTCGTATGTGATATTGATTGATTTTTTGACAGTGGAAGAAAATGTAAAATGCTTAAAATAAAAAGGCATTAGACAAGGTTGAATTGTTGAATTTCGTAATCAAACGGGAAGTTTTCAGAACTCACAAACTAGTATTTGATTATGTACCAAACAAATGTGCTCGCCCTAGCGCTGTCGCACTGTCAAACTATTGCTTAAAATCTATACAACAAGAAATTTAAATTCAAAATAATTCTGATGAATTTCAAATCAATATGCTTAGCGCTTCCCAGTACTTTCAGTACTTTAATTTTTTAATGGAATTCATCGATATTGAGCATATAAAAAAGTCTTACAGAAAAAAGGGCACAAAAAGGGAGTTGGGGGCGTTTGTGGAACATCTGTAACGGTCCCCGTTACAATTAAAATTAGTTGATTTTAATTTATACGATATTTGACGAACTTTGAAGAAAAAAACATGAGTGTTATAAAAGAAATTCTGGTGTGGATAATGAGTCACATTCATGGGTTAGATTCTTGTTGTAAGATTTCCACACCTGTCTTAGATGAAATGTCGCTCCTTGGCGATTATCGTGTCAACACTCGATAGCGCAACCGAGCGAATAGAGACTGCAGAGGAGCGCTCCTGCGGCGAACCGACGCTTTAGCTCTAATTAACTAATAGGACTATCAATGAGCAGAGTTTTGCCAGCCAATTACATATACAACATAACGGTATTGCTCAGGTATTCACCGAAGAAAAACTGTTTGCTTTCCACTCCCTTAAAAAAAAATTAGATGATTTTCATATCTGCATGTATTTTTTCATTAAGGAGACTTTCTTATATAACTTTGCACAAAATTACTTTTAAGAAAAACAAAAATAAGGGAGAAGCTTTACTTTGATGTGTTTAGAGACTGAAGTTTTTAATGCTTTTTTTTAATAAGATTATTTATTTATTCATTTACAATTTTATCAATTATAGTATAAATATCAAAGATGAATTAACAAAATGTAACACATAAATTCTCATTATCATTTTATTTATTTGGTCGTCATTTAACTTGTTTTTCTTTCAGCTTTCTTTCAAGCTCAGTGTAACCGAGCAGTAAGAAATAGATGGTGAAATGAAATGATGGTACATGTAGCCATTTTATTTGAAGAAGTATAAAAAGACATTGACCTTAAAAAGTATGAAGAATAGTTTAGAGAAAAATTGATATAATGTAGTTTACTATATAGTATTTAGACACCCTCGTTTTAAGGTCTAATATTCTAACATTCATAAAATCATTCGTAAAGTTTACAAGGACATTTATTATCACGGAATTTCATTTTTTATGAAACATGAACCTATTTTTCAAGGTAATCGACATCATACAGCAAAATCCAGGGAACTCCAACAAAGTTTTTTTCTTCTAAAAATATAAAGTATACTTCAATAAAAAAAACTGCATTAGGCGAAAGAGGGAATTAACGAAGTTTTAGAGTTTAAATATATATAATAATATAAAGTATTTACATGTATATTTCCCTCGGTGCAGAATGAGTGGATTCAATTTATTTTTAAACATTACGACATCAGTAAATTTTATCGAGAGAGTCCATAAAATGTTATTTAAAAAGTATAACAAGAGTCACGTGTCTTGAAAATTCCAAAGTCAAAACAATTTTTAGATATAATATTTAACGATTTACACACAGTGTACTCTCTGCCATTAGATGTTATGCATTTAGTTTTATCACATTTCTCCAAGGGCGCTTATACATTTATTAATCAGGAATTACATGTTCACATAAACTTTTGAATCAGAGATGTTTTTAGACGGGATAAAAAATCAGTGAAAATTATTTTATTTTAGTTTATAGACAAATGAAAAATAAGAGTCATTCAAAACTGCAGGGAAAGGAACGTACATGTATGCTTGGAATTTTTTTAGGTAATGTTTTAGGAAAAAATGCATTCTTCGAGTTGAACGTAATTATATTTTTTTTGTGAATTCCTTTGAAAGAAGAGGGGGTTAGACGGAAGAAATACTAACAAGTATTAACAGCTGGTTGTCAACTAAATCTGATTTCTGTTTTTATTCCACACAGGTAAATTTTCAAATAAAATCCTGACATGTTAATGAAATATATTAGGTAATTCATCAATCTGACAAAATTGTATCCACAAATTATAAAAATGCGATACCTCTATTCCAATTTAGGGTATGACGTTTGCATGTATATTCCATAGATAATCGGATTTGGTTGTGTAAATTTGTGTGGTGTTACCTCTCTTGTGTCGTCAAACAAAACAAACTTCATTATTCGTTTAATAATGTATAGATTAATATCTTCAAACAATGAATTTGTGTACGGGTGCCATTGATAAAGCGTGCTAACGGGGAGAACTACGACAAACACAGGGCGCTGATTGCTATCCCCCAATTGTTGGGACCAAACTGTTGATCACACTCCCGGGTAAAATTAGACAAACAACGCCGTGCTTCATAAAATTATTACTGTCAAGACGTTATTATCAGGGAATACACCCCTCTCTCTCTCTCTCTCTCTCTCTCTCTCTCTCTCAGAGATTTAAGAACCAAGAGCCTTACAACTCACACGAAAATGCTATAAACACACATAATTATATATAATTAATTAATCACGTACGGACAAAAATTTGTTAATATATATTTATTATTTAATATAAAAACATTATATATCATGTAAACAAGACTACTAAACACATGAACTACTACGTATTTTGCTGATTAATTAGTAATGTCATTCTTTTTAAAATCTCAAGCAGTCTCTCTCTCTCATTTAAAAATTGTCTAGAATTTTTATCCATTTTTTAAATTATTACTCATTTTAAAATACTATAAAGCTTCATCTTTCATACATTCTTATTTCCTTAACTTTTCAAAATGTCTTTTAAATTTGTCTTTGAAAAAATAAGAATATATCTTCTTTGATTAACACCCCACATTAAGTTTTTCAATCTATCTCATTTCATTTCTGCCGATTCTTTTCTTTTTTTGCGAATCTCCTGCATCGGTTTAGAGCAGCAGAAATCCAAGTACAGAATTAAGCAATTACTTTATTTTCTGAACATACTATACTCCAAGCTAAAAATAAAAGAAATTAATTTCGCATTTGAATTATGGTAAAGGAGTATCAGCACGTACACATCGTTTTCATTGTGAATTTTAGATAATGAAGTTTAATTTTATATTGCATTATGCCTGGTAGCTGATTCTCTTTTATACATTAATTCTCGCTAATCAACAGTCAAGGAGGGGCGCGGGAGTTGAGACCGGGTGCGTGAAATGAACTCATGTCGTGAGCAGTGATAAACAAATAATTATCACGTGCCACGACGATTGAAAACGATTTGTTCACTAAACGTCAATCATGTTCAACTCCGTTCCCTTCGCAATTGCATGTCGTGTGTCAACACTTTGTTGTTCCTTTAAAAACCGATGATTTAACGGTACCCAAATATTAACAAGAATCTATTTTGTCTACACAAGACGTAAGGATAGTGCTTTGGAACAATTTAAATTAAAAAGAAACTTTCAATTAGAGGCAGAACTTTTTTACGTGACGAGGAAAAATGATACCAACATCGTTCAGCATTGACTTTTTGACTCGGAGCGATCGTTATCGGCCTGGGGGTAGCGGCAATGATGTGGCCCGGTGCAGCACCTCTCCCGACCCCCAGTCCTCGTCTTGTCACAGCGAGTCGGAGAGTTCCACCGGAGACAACTCCGAGTCCATAGCGGAAGTTCTCTTGTCGCTGGACAAGACGATAAAGAATGGAATATCTGGAGATCCCTCCAAGGAGAAGCCTCCACACTCTTATATCGCTCTCATCTCCATGGCTATTTTAAGCAATTCTGACCAAAAAATGTTGCTAAGTGATATCTACCAATATGTGATGGACAATTTTCCGTATTACAACAATAAGGAAAAGGCATGGAGAAATAGCATTCGCCATAATTTATCCTTGAATGAGTGTTTTGTGAAGAATGGACGCGCTGGTAATGGCAAAGGGAATTTTTGGTCCATTCATCCTGCCTGTGTGGAGGATTTTGCACGAGGAGATTTCCGTCGTCGTCAGGCACGAAGAAGAGCCAGGAAGAGTATGAAGGCGCCCGTGGATCGCCCCATTAGACCCGACTGTAGTTACAACCTAGGCTACGTTCCTATGACTCCCTCTCCCATCGGCTACCACGGATACCCTCATCAAGTCTTATATTCGCAGAAAAACTTTCACTCCATTGCGCAGGTGCCCTCGCCGATGACATCCCAACACATGGCCCCGATGTCTTCCCCTTCTGGATATTTCTCTCCCATGCACATGCATCATGCCAGTTCCCAGTCCCAGCAGTTCTTATCCTCGTCAGTCCATCCGGGCGGCAGTTACCCTCAAAACTGCTGGTGAAAAAGACTGCACAGATACAGTGACTACCTTGTTTTTATTATTTTTAATTGTTAAAATTTCGTGTTTTATTTGTACATACACTTTGGCATGTATATAATTTTCAAGTGCAATATTTTAGACATATACTAGTACATAATTTATAATTTTATCATAATGTGTGAATAATCCATTCGATTAGTGGCATTTGAAATGTATAAAAAGTATAAAGATTATTGTAAGCCTTGCGGTTTGCGGTAAATTTGTTGATTGTTATATTTACCAAAGTACTGTATGTGACGATAAAATATAGAAATATTGCTATCATTACTGAAAATGGAATAAAAGAAAGGATTCAAGACTGGGTTTTTATTGAATACTGCCATTTATCCCATGTTTACTCCTTTATCCCGTGGATATGACTCAATGGGTACTTTTTTGGATATCCCACAGTTGTGACTTCACAATGGGTTTTACGTTAGAGTGATGAAGTAAAATGAGGTGGAGTCCTATATAAAAAAGGGTAAACATTGATAATGATGCATAAAACATGGGATGAAAAGAATCTCCCATGATTAATTGTAGTTGGATATGATTTTTTTATCCAACTTCAAATCATGGGAGATCCTATATACATGATGGGATGCAAACCACAGGTCTCCATTTAACAGTCTAAATTCTAAATCTTTCTAGAAAATTTAAAATAAAATTGTAAGAAAACAAACTTTTAACCATTAAATGATACCGGTAAATCAACATTATTTGTTTCAGATTTCATGCTACAAGTTTGTGCATTTTTAGCTAATGGGAAGAGAAAACGCTTTAAATGATGTAAAAATGCTGAATCTTAGGTGCACACTATTTAGCTGCAGAATTGTAGCGTTATGGTTTTAGATTTTAGTCTTTCACCATAACGCTACAAATCCCGTAATGAAAAAAAAATGTGCAATTTACGGCGCAAGATTTTTTGCCCACTGTTTTGGAGAATTTTTACACTTTCAAGCATTAGTAAATCATCTACCTTTCACTCCCTAATTCTAAACACATTTTTAAAAACCAATCTGTATATTTTATTTTATTACATCTGTGTACAGCTCAATACAGCTATATACACTATTACTATTAGACTACCATTTTTAAAAAAAAAAGAATGTCCGAATGCTCACGCGTAGAGTCAAAAGTCAAATGCCAATTTTCGTACAAAAAGGCACCAATATACAGTTGATTTGAACATATTTTATTGTAATATAATTACAAAGGCATTACAAAGGCATTGGGCACAAGTTCTGACAACTTATAACGCCCTCTCCCTAAAGTTATGATATACAGTTAAAGTATATCATTGAGGGAGTCAGCAAGATTTCAGTTCCCCAAGAGCAAGTCTATTTCCCGAGGCGCAGCAGAATGAAATAGGCATGCTTGAGGGGGAACTGGAATCTTGATGACTCCCTCAATGATATACTTTAACTGTTTTAATATACCGATATATTACATGAAAGTTAAGTGAGCTTTATCATGAATATTCATGATGTTAATTTGGAACATCTCGGTACTGTTCATACGATTAAAAGGAATCACTGGGTGTTCCAAATAGGTGTGTATCAGTTCATCAAACTGACGCACCTTTTTCCAAGGAATCAGTCTTTTTCGTTGATTTTCAGGGAATCAGCAAAATATATCAATTTACTTTTATATAGTGAAAAATCATTATGTGGTGACAGCATGCACGATCTTAATTTGACCATTTTTTCATTTTTTACTTTTTTCACTATTGTTTTTATATGTTTCATGTTTATTTACATATTGAATTTACAACACATACTAGCCATACGTCTACATCTGACTCCGCCACCCCGTTTGCGGCGCTTTATTATATTTTTTTTATTGCAGCCCGGAGGACCGGGCTGCTCTATACATATAAGTTTAAGTGTAAGTGTATGGGGATAGGGGTAGGAGTAGTTATGCAGAATTAAAGGCTTTCTAAACATTGACAAGATTGTTAATCAGAATGTTCTTTCTGTTTATAAATTACGAGGTGCATAATATATTTACTTCCATAAAGTGAATCTGTAAAAAATGTACGTGTTTTTCATATTTAATATATAAAGTTATTTATCATTTACTATCGAAACAACGACAGGCCCCTTTTTTTAGAACATCGAATTTTACTTCTCGGATAAAAACGTACTCTGCACAGTTCGTGTTTTATATTCTAAAATTGAAAATTAATACATTTTTAAATATAAATGATGCGTGTGTCTAACTTCAATTTATACATTTACTTGAGGAATTGATCAACTTTAAAATGGTATCGTTTTTGTTTTTTTTTTTATCCGACTACAAGTTTTTTTTAAAAATTGCGACTATCGTCTCCATCAATTAGACGCATGCCTTTTTACACATATCGAAGCAGTTTGTTGATCAAGACTCATTTTCATTGTTTACTTGATATATTTCCCGGGCGACAATTGATGGTTACATCAATGTTTTCTTGTTCTGTATTTTTTTGATAATGGGTAATACTGTAGAACAATATCGTTCCGCTATCGGGGTTTTCTATATGAAATGTAGAGGAATACTGAAAAGGTCCTCATTCAAGGTTTTCAACATTGCTGATTTATTTTACTTTCTGCATAAACAGAATACATTATTTCGAATTCATCTAAAAAAATGGGTTCATATTTAATTATTATAAATTATCTTTCTCAGCTTTTCATATTTTTGAAAATACTCTTATCTGGGGATATTGAGATTAATCCTGGTCCATCTTTTGAGAACTCCCTTGATATAATACATCTGAATATAAGAAGTATCAGAAATAAAATAGACTCGTTGATTTACTTTGTACAAGACTTTGATATATTACGCTTTACAGAAACCCATTTAAATTCAAACTTAAGCAATGATGATCTTCATATTGAGGGATTTGGAAATATTTTTAGAAAAGATAGGAATTCATATGGAGGAGGAATCATGATATATGTCTCTAACTCTCTAAAAGTCACTCGACGGGAAGATTTAGAACCACGAAGCATAGAGAGTATTTGGATCGAAATTGAACAACCAAACAATAATTTATTCATTTGTTGTGTTTATCGTCCACCAAACTCGAGCAATGATTTTTGGAGGAAATTTTCATGGTCCATTGAAAGAATAAGTGATATGTCAAACAAAATTATAATACTTGGGGATCTTAATGTAGATTTTCTTCAAATAAATCCAAATGATGAAATTTATAATATCATGAACATGGCTGGGCTTTTAAACGTAATAAACCAACCTACGAGAGTAACACAAGTTACAAAAACTCTGATAGACCCTATTCTTATTAGTCGTGAAATATTTATGTTCGATTCAGGTACATTAATGGTTGACACAAATATCAGTGACCACAAAGCTACGTATATATATGTGAAACAAAATTACTGTAACAATTCTTCATACAAACATAAAGTATGGAGCTATAAAGAAGCAAATTTAGAAGAACTTAATATTTTAATAAACAACTTTGATTGGGAAAGCATTATTTCAAAATCAACTGATATTGAAACCGCAACAACAAACTTTACACAACAATTTATGCTAATTATACGCAAATGTATACCCGAAAAAACTGTTACAATAAGACCAAACGACAAACCATGGATGGATTCATTACTAAGAACAGCTATACGGCTTAGGAATAGATTAAGAAATAAAGCACAGAAAACCAAGAAAGAATCGGATAAAGAAGAATTTCGGAAAGCTAGAAATAAAGTAAATAATATGAAAAAATATGCCAGAGCAAATTACTACGACAACATTGATTCTCATTTAAACGACGCAAATAAAAATAATAACAAGTTGTACTGGAAATTACTAAAAGATGTCTTTCACACTAAAACTTCATCCGAAATACCCCCTATTAAACAGATGAATGAGAATGGTGATCCTATATACGCATTTTCCGAAAAAGAGAAAATTGAATTACTAAATAACTTTTTACTTCCATCTCTGATATAAAAGATGAGGAATATGAGCTACCTGATTTTGAGTCCAAAAATGTAGAAAAATTTTGTGACGTAAATATCCAAGAAAGTGAGATTATTGATATTATTTCTATCCTCCTCGTAAATAAAGCTGTGGGCCCTGATTGTATCAGCCACAAAATGTTAAAATCTTGTAAAGAATCCATAGCTAAGCCACTTTGTCTGTTATTTAATAAATCTCTTAGACTCAAAGTTTATCCTGAAAGTTGGAAACTAGCACATGTCCTTCCACTATTTAAAAAAGATGACCCATCAGTCACTTCAAATTATAGACCTGTATCTCTTTTGAGTTGTGTAAGTAAAATATTTGAGAGAGTTGTATTCAAACATGTATATAATTTCTTTCACACAAATAATTTGTTCTACAAATATCAGGCAGGTTTTCTGCCTGGTCACTCAACTGTGTACCAACTTTTAGAAACATATCATACTATTGTAAAAAGTATTGATGAAGGGCAATATTGTTGTATGGTTTTTTGTGATTTATCAAAAGCTTTTGATAGGGTTTGGCATAGGGGTCTGATTTATAAATTAAAAATGTATGGTATCTCCGGTAATATGTTAGAATGGTTGGAAAGTTACTTGTACAATAGAAAACAAAAAGTTATGTATAAAAATTTATTTTCTTCTGTGAAAAATGTGCATGCTGGGGTACCCCAGGGCTCTGTCCATACTGACACGCAAAAGAAACGCAACACCCTACTTTGAGGGAAATAATTATGTAAAGTAAAGAATTTTGTATCTTAAAATTATGGATATTTTCAATTTGGTAAACATCGGTAATTTAGCGGTTGAACGATTTTTTTACCATAACCGGAAGTCAAGTTTGAGTCTGCTTAACAGAAATCAGAAACTGCATGTTTAACAAAACATTTAACAATATTATGGGAGTTTACAGAGTTTATACTGTCCATCTTAAGTAAAACAGCAATATTTCAAAAAATAAAATCTCCTTTTGTTTCCTGTTACGATGCTATGGCTTCTCGAAAATGGCTTAAGTAAGCATTTCCATTGCTCTAACTGGAAAATCTCAACGTAAAGGTGATGGAGAGTTGATGATGCAAAAATACACTGAATTACGCCTCAACGGGGTCTTATGTATCATATGCATAAATGGTAGTCCTTGGACCGGAAGTCCAAGGGTTACTACAATGAGCTAAGTTAGAGAAAATTCGACCTAATCATCTCAAAAACA